ACATTCTTTCTTTTACATTATACTTTGGAGATCTTTTTGTATCAGTAGACATACTTGGTTTAATTAACTCCTAGATGGAGAACATTTCTCCGCTATCTGCACATCTTTCTCATCCACCTCTTTCAGGCCACACACTTTCCAAAGTGCTACCCTACATTTTGACTTTTCCCAGACACTTTTGCACACCTCTTTAACCAGATTTATAAGACTTGGGATATAAGGTAGCTATAAGCTATCTTGGTTCTATTGCTATTGTATAGATTGGCTTTTGTGAGCTGTCCTAGAAATCTAATCATTACCAATGAGGTTGTTTTTACTAGCTGCTCTGGCCTATTGCTCCTAAGAAATATGAGAGGCAATTTTGAGTAAAGGAAAAAGCTAACTTTGCACTAAAAATAGACTTCATCTCAAGTCTTTGCTTCACCTTGTTCAGATAAACAGGGCTTTGTATTAGGAGAAAGAGACAGTGGATAAGGAAATTTTTGTGCTATTTCCTTCCTTATCCATTTTTGTTTCCCTTCTTGCTTTCTGGAAAGAAAACCAGATCTTGACACCGCAGCCGAGAATCTACATATTCCTCTCAGACTGATAGTTTTCTGACAGGCACTAGTTTCTCTGCTTATTGATCTGTGCTGAGAAGAGGGCATGGTAGTTTCTGCTGTTAGCATGAGTAAATTGAGAAAAAAAATCTTTTATAGAAATTCTTTCTGTAAAAGAAAAAATGATTTAAGTTTTAACCATGTAACAGTCTGTTTAAATATAAAATAGCCAAAATTGCATATTTTTTATTTTATGACAGTTATATAAAAATATAAGAATCAGCAATTTTTTCAATTTTATTTAATGCAAGAATCAACTGGTTGAAATGTCACCTGCTTCAACAACACTCAGGATATGCAATACATAAACATGCTACTTAGGTGATGCTCATGATAAACTGTTACGTGTTTAAAGTTCCATTTTACACTTTTGTTGACATTGAGTTCCAAACATGTTCATAAATATATTCTGAAGTTTTCTAACAAGTTGAAGCTATAGTATATATTGACTTTATAACCTGTTTACCACATGAGCTGTGATTCTTTTTATAGAAGATACTTTGCAAGTTAGAGAAGGTATTTACAATTCAGGTTGCTAAAGAATTCGTTGTTAAAGGTAGTCCACTCAATAAAATTAATATTAAAAAAGTGGTCCATTTGTTTTGCGAGATGTTTTGGGTTTTGACTTTAATAAGCCTAAGTATTCTATTAGTTTCAATGTTACAGATGCTTAATATCTTAGAGGATATTACAGTTGATTACCTTTTATGAATTCTTCCCTAACTCAGTGGTCTTTTAATATTGATTTTTATCTAGATTCTCCAGAGCTTGTTTTTGTAAGTCATGTGATACACCCTTGTCACTTCTACATTCGGAAATATTCACAAGTGAAAGATATATCAGTATTGGAGAAGAAAGTGAATCAAATTTGCAATAAGAGTTTACATCTTGATCCTTCAGATGTTTTGGAACTAGGTAATAAAACATTAATTGAAGTTAAAATATCAAATTTATTTAAATATTGTTATACTTGGCCAACCCTCATAGACTAGCTATAATTTAGATTCTTACTCTAAGCATAAAATTTTGGAATCATTCAACATAAAAATATTCAGGTAAATTAGCTAAGGGCTAAAATTGAATTTTGGCATATTTTTTAGAGTAAGATATACAAAAAAACTGACAGGTTATGTCATTTGTCCCCTTGTCTCTAAACTGATTATCAAAAGAAAACATGATTGTGTGTGATACTTGTCCCTTGTTTTCTTTTTTGTTTGTTTGTTTGTTTGTTTTTGTTTGTTTGTTTTGGCGGAACCAGGGATTGAACTCAGGCCCTTGTGCTTGCCAAGGAAGCGCTATTCCACTGACCCATCTCCCCGGCCCCTGTCCCTTGTTTTCTATGTTATGTTTTTGATCTAATATTGAGCATTTCAGCAAGAGATGTATGGCTCCCATTCCTAGGGCTTCTTGGAGGAGAGTAGGCAATTAAGTTTACTGTTTTAATTCTAAAGGTATGTGAATTTGCCATGCTTTAGACTTCTATTAAATGTTTTCCTAAAACAACCAAATTTGTTACACACTGGAATGGTGCTAGGGCTAAGATTTCTTTGATTTATTAAAGGAATGTTTTCCTCAATGTGTACATATACCAAAAAGTATTATTTCTGTAGTCAGGTGATAGCTCTTTAAAAGGGTAGTTAACTCTCAGCTTTTTTCCATGGGTTTTCAGAATACCAGAACACTAAGATCATCATGTATTTCTTACAAAAATTTTTAAACTTAAATAACTTTTTAATTTTTAGTGTCTTATGAGGAGGGAAATGTAATATCAACCTTAACTTTTACAGTTGTGTCACCAAACAGCATCCATGGAGATTCCCAAAGGTGGAAATAACCTAAACCTAGTCTACCTGTAGAATAAGTTCCAGGTTCCCTGAGTCCTGTCACAGGAAAAAAATTGTCAGAACTAGTCAGTAAGAGACATAAATGGATTTATTAGAAGCTGACATCGTGTGTTAATTTACAAACATAGGTTTTATAATGTTGAGTTGTCAGGAATGTATATACTATATCCTTTTAATAACAGGTGAACATCAGCCTGAATATGAAGTGGAAAAGTTGAAAAGATGCAAATGTTTTAAGCATATTAAGGAGCAAAAAAATTTGAGTGGTGAATTATCCTTAATATTAACTTCTATATCTTTACCTGTTTGCCTGTATACAAGAATGGAAGTATAAAAGTGTATAGATTCGTCCCTTACTGAGAAAATTGTTAAATTTTTGATGATAATGCCAAAAATATATTAAAGATCTTCCTTTCATTTTCTGATGTTCTCTTCAATCTCTTTTTTTCAGAATATTGTAGGTTTCATTGTAGAAGTCTTTTACTTCCATGGCTAAGGTCATTCCTAAGTATTTAATTTTTCTTGATGCTACTGTAAATTGTATTGTTATCCTAAAATTTCTTTTTGATGAGCTCATTGTTGGGGTACAGGAGCATTATTGATTTTTGTGCAAATTTTGTATACTGCTACATTGCTGAATTTTCTTATTCTGGGAATCTTTTGATATAATTTTTGAGTTATCAGATCATGTCATGTGCAAATAATAATTTTAGTTCTTCCTTTGCTATATATTTCCCTTTTATTTCTTGCTCTTGCTTAATTGCTCTGGCTAATGTTTCAAGTAATCTATTAAACAGGAGTAGTGATAGTGGACATCCTTGTCTTGTTTCTGATTTTAAAGGGGAAATTTTCAGTTTCTTTGCATTTAATATGATATTGGCTTATATCAGATTGAGATAAGAGCATCTATGTGAATTTTCTTCAGAGTTTTTATCATAAATGGATGTTGAACTTTGTTAAAGGCTTTTTCTGCATCTATCATGATCATGTGATTTTTTTCATCTTTATGTGATGTATTACCTTTTTTAAGGTTTGCATGTATGTCAAACTATGCATGTATTTCAGGGATTGACCCTACTTGGTCATGATGATGTATGATGTTTTTCAAAAATAGATTGCATACGGCTTGACAGTATCTTGTTGAGGATATTTTCATCTGCATTCATTAGAGAATGTAATGAATGTGTTTTTCTTTTTCAGTTGAGCTATTGTCTGGTTTTGGAATCATGGTAATACTAGCTTCCAGGAATTAATTTTGCAGTATTCCTTTCCTGTCAATTTCATTAGTTTGAGAAACATTGGTGGTATCTCTCACTGTTGGTCCTGGGCTTTTCTCAGTAGGGTTTTTTTTTAATACTTTTAAATTGTATTGCCTGTTACTGGACTATTCAAGGTTGTTATATCTTTTCTTCTCAGTTTTGGTATTTCAGATGTAACTGGGAATTTCTTCTAAATATTCCAATTTATTGGAGTACAAGTTTTCAAAGTAGATTCTAAAAATCTGGATTTTTTTTTTTCAACTAGGAATTGAATTTAAGAGCTTGTACTTGCCAGGGAGGTGCTGTACCACTGAGCTATATTCCTGGCTAAAACTGTATTTTGGCAGTGTCTGTTGTAATTTCACACTTTTTATTTCTGATTGCATTAATAATGGATCTTTTGTTTCCTCCTCTTGGTAATTTTGGCTAAGAATTTGTCTGTTTTGTTTATTCCTTTGAAAAACCAGCTCTTGGGGCCAGGGAGAGAGTTCAGTAGAATAAGTGCTTGATTGGCAAGTGCAGGGTCCTGAGATCAATCCCCAGTACTGGGAAAAAAACAGCTCTTCAGTCCATTGATTCTTTCTGTTGTTTGGGGGCTTTTTTGTTTTGTTTTGTGTATGTGTGGGGGGTTTTTTGGTTTTTTTCCTACAGGGTGTTCAGGGTCTCTGTACTAGATTAGACTTGTAGTGATCCACCTGTTTACAGCCTCCCAAGAGCTGGGATTACAGGTGCATGCCACCACACCCAGTCTCAGTTGCCATCTCAGTGAGCCTGGAGGGTGGGGCCAGCATGGCAGGCCCGGGGATTGAACCCCTTGAACCCGCTGAGCTATTTGGCCAGCCCTTATATTGTGGTTTTAATCTCAATTTTTATACTGATATTTTTGTACTAGCTTTGGATTTGGATTGTTCTTGTTTTCCTGGAACCTTGAGGTGTGTCAGTAGGTTATTGATTGCTTACTGTTCTTCTGATGTTCGCATTGGCTATAAACTTCCCCCTTAAGGAGGTTTCATTGTGTCCCATATGTTCTAGTAAATTGTACTAGTGTAATCATTCCACTCTAGCTTCTAACTTCTAGAATTGGTTTCATCTGTGAATTATTGATTATTCAAGGTAAATTGTTTAACCTCCAGGTGTTTTCAGAGTTTCTTTTGCCATTTCTAGCTTCACAGGCAGCTGATAAGATACATAGTATATTTTTAGTTCTTTTGCCTATATGTAAGCATGCTTTATTGCCTAGTATGTGGTCTACTTTGGAGAAAGTTCCATATGCTGCTAAGAAAAGTGTATATCTTATTATTGGGTGGAACATTCATTTGTTCAAAGGTGAGGGTCAACTGTGATGTTTCTTTGTTGATTTCAGTCTACTTAATCTATTTGTGATAGTGGGGTATTGAGGTTCCCTGCTATAATTTTGTTGATGTTTATGTAATCTTTAATGTATAGTAGTGTTTATTGTATGAAATTGGGTGCATTGTGTTTAGTGCATATATATTTACAATTGTCATCTCCTCTTGTTTAATTGTTCCCTGAATGACTATGTAGTGACCTTCACTTCTAATCAGTTTTTTTTTTTTTTCTAATCAGTTTTGAAATGTCGTCCTTCAGACTGCCATTAGATTGACTGTTGTTCTGTCTTTTGGTTTTTTTGTTTATGAATTTCTTTTCTGGGGCTGGGGAGAATAGTGCTTCCCTGGCAAGCGCAAGGGCCTGAGTTTAATCCCTGGTTGCTCAAAAAAAAAAAAATTCTTTTCTATCAGTGTCACATTGAGTTTTGTTCCTTGATCACATCTCCCCAGCTGCATCTTTTGATCATGGTACAGTAGTAATTTTGTTTTCAAATTCAGTTCTCTCCATGATTCTGATCGCAACCTAATTGGATGAGAACCGAATTAAATTGCTCCATGTCAACATTGAAGTGACCCCCAGGATTTGATTTGGTTCTTACCCAACTCATTTTGTGACCAGAATTATTGAAAGAATGAAGTTCATGAACTGAGGTACCACTGCATATTGAAGCTATTTATACTGATATTATTACTGAAAGATACTGCTTTATTGCTGTTATTGCATTTTTTACCCTTCCTGATGTATTCATTCCATCAGACTTTTTTTTTCCCACATTGTTGCCTTCATAATCTATCTAGCATATTCTTGAGAATTTTTTGGAGTGCCAGTTTGGTGTTCATGAATTTCATAAGATTTTTGGGGGGAAGGGGGATGTCCTTATTTCTCCATCAATTTTTAAAGTCAGTTTTGTCATTTTTCCCCATTATTAACTTTATTGAAAATCAATAATTATATAGCAAATTAAAAATTATAGACAAAATTGAAATGTGAAAGATACAAGATGGGGACAGACCAGGTAGCTCAGTAGACTAAAACACCTGCTTAGGCAGAGCGCAGTGGCCAGGGTTCCATCCCTGGTGTGTTGTGACAGCCCTACCCCCACTCCCATGGCATGCTGAGATGGCCATTGAGACTGGCTGTGGGGGCGCACACCTGTAATCCCAGCACTTGGAAGGCTGAAAACAGGAGGATCACTATGAGTCTGGTCTACATAGAGACCCTATAGACCCTGTACTAAATACATTAAAAAGAAAAGATACAAGATGACAGAGTGAATGTTAGAAAAATATTTCTGACATGAATACATAACATGAGATTAATAATAGATTGTACATCGTGAAATTATTTACAGACTTAAATGAATATAACAAAAATTATCTAAACATGAAGAATTTACAGATCAGTCATATAATAGTTCTCTCTGTGCCAAAATCAAGAAAATTATATTCATATAGTTAAAATT